ACCGGTACTCACCATCAAAGTTGATGTGACGGATAATTCCCTGCATGACCTGTTCATAGAACTTCTCCAGAGCCTGCGATAGCAGTACACGGGAAGACAAGATGGAGGACACGGTCAAGGGAAGGTGTTCAGGAAGCATACGGGAAGACAAGATGGAGGACGCGGTCAAGGGAAGGTGTAGAGGAAGCATACGGGAAGACAAGATGGAGGACACGGTGAAGGGAAGGTGTTCGGGAAGCATACGGGAAGACAAGATGGAGGACACGGTCAAGAGAAGGTGTTCAGGAAGCATACGGGAAGACAAGATGGAGGACGCGGTCAAGGGAAGGTGTAGAGGAAGCATACGGGAAGACAAGATGGAGGACGCGGTGAAGGGAAGGGGTCAGGAGGACACGGGAAGACAAGATGGAGGACACGGTCAAGGGAAGGGGAGAGTCACAGAAGACAAGATGGAGGACACGGTCAAGGGAAGGGGTCAGGAGGACACGGGAAGACAAGATGGAGGACACGGTCAAGGGAAGGGGTCGGGGAGAGTCACAGAAGACAGAGTGCGGCCAATCACCTTCTCATGCTGCGTGCAGCTGCCCCTCTTCTTGCGCGGGATGTTGGTCTCTATCTTGGCTCGGAGGAGGGTCATACTGGGTGTGACCAGACAGATGTGGGCGAGTCCTTCCTGCATGACCACCGCGGCGACATCGGCGCTGAAGGCGGGGTCACAGGCCTGATCTGAGGGAAATACCATTCGCGTGATGACCGTCAGATCTTTTTCCTGGAGGTCCATCGAGGGACACAGAGTCATAGATGGTTGGGTTATGCTGCCACAGCATGGTGACGGAGACGTCATCACATGACTCCAACATGGGGACCTCTAGTGGTGGGAGGATCCTCCTACAGATCAGGGTCACAGCCAGCACAGGGCTTCCTGCTCACTGGGACCAGCTTCCTGCTCACTGGGACCAGCTTCCTGCTCACTGGGACCAGCTTCCTTCCCCCCGGGACCAGCTTCCTTCCCCCCGGGACCAGCTTCCTTCCCCCCGGGACCAGCTTCCTTCCCCCCGGGACCAGCTTCCTTCCCCCCCAATATAGACCACTTGGACCGAACCGGACAACTGCAGGCCCAGAATCATTTCCAGGTTCCAGAGGCAGACTCTGCGAGGGAGGGCCCCACAGGTCACTTGGAACCTCAGTGAGCAGAAGGCTGGGCACAATGACTGGGCACAATGAGATAAGGACTCCATAGTGGACATGAGGGGCCCGGTCTGGTGAGGGGCCCGAGGTCTGGTGAGGGGCCCAGTCTGGTGAGGGGCCCGAGGTCTGGTGAGGGGCCCGAGGTCTGGTGAGGGGCCCGAGGTCTGGTGTTGATAAAGCTAGCACTTTTCTTCCAGCAGAGTCCATCCTCCCAGAGGAATGCTGGGAGTGGGAGGGGCCTATATGAGACTCCTCCTGTAGGTGGCAGTATTACCCGACTATGTGGATCCCTCCAGCTCGCTGTGCCCGGCTTAGTACCCCTGTGCGAGGACGACGCGCGCGGATCACAAGGACTATTCATAGTAACGCGGAGGCACAGTATGCATTCCTGGTGTTATCACTTGGGGGGGGGTTTGGTGGCCCTCGGGGGCCCCTCTTACCGATCCTCTCCAGAACAATGCTGTCCCACTGCTTCTTGGCGAGGGTGAACTTGCGGTTAAGCTCCAGCTCAATGGTGTGATACGCCCCCATCTGCAGAACACAAGATGACAGATGAGAG